TGCCTTTTCTTCAAAAGTGTTCTGTGCGGTGTGTGTTTTTCAGAAATCAGACGACGAGGTTCCAAAGACCCCCTGGTGAAGGCGCTTCAGCTGCTCGACAGCCCCTGCGAGCCTGGGGAGAACGGCCCGAAGCCCGAGGCGCTGGCTAAGCGCCGGAGCTCCAAGGAGCTGCTGGGGAGGCCGCCGCAGCTCTACGACACGCCCTATGAGCCGGCGGCCGAGGCGGGCCCGCTCGCCGCCGAGGGGCCGGAGCGGAAGGCGAGGCTGCCCCCGGACGGCCACGGACGGCTGCCCCAGGACGACGAGAGGCCCGCGGCCGAGTACGAGCAGCCCTGGGAGTGGAAGAAGGAGCAGATCGTGCGGGCGCTGTCGGGTGAGGGCTGGGTCCGTGTCCCGCTCCTGCCTTCTTTCAGCTTCGCCGCTGGAAAACCCTCGCCCGCCCGTTCAGCCAAGGAGCTTTTCTTTATGTTCCTCAACTGCAAGTTTCTTTTCCAAGAAATTTGATGGCATGGGGATATAAAAATTTGGCTGTGGTTGAAAGAAAAAGACTGAAGAAGACCACTTAATGTTGCATGGGGTCCTCTATCCTTCTGGGCATCTTAATTTCCCTTTATCCTTACAGTATGCAACTGTTTGAGAAAAGCCTTAAATCACTATTGGAAAAACCTTATCTTATCACCACTAAAAGCTCACACATTGAGAGCAGCTCCTTCTAACTCTTGGTGCTATTCCTCCAACCTGTTCAAATTTCTGTTTATAATAAGATGGCACTAGTGGATCAAATGGATTATAGGAGAGGTGGTTGGAAAGCAGGAGGAAGCTAGCTTTTTTTTTCTCCTGTCGAAAATCCTAAAGGAATCCGTTCTTCAGCTGTGAACCTTTTTAATAACTTAAGAGGAAGTTGATGAGTAGATTGTCAATAGATATTAAAGGTCAGTCTCCCTCCTGCTTCTCCCAAGACATAGTTTTTCTACTTATCTGGCCACCTAATTTCTTTTGCCTTTGATTTTAAAAGTTAAGGATATCTTTTCCATGTAACAGTAAAGTTGTGCTTTTGATTAAAACTGTCATCAATGTAAAGGGTGAATAGAAAAGGTAATTTGTTTGATAGCAAACATTTGAGTCCAGATGGGCTTTCCCCGGGGCTCACCTGGGAAAGAACCCGCCTGTCAGTACAGGAGACTCAAGAGACGTGGTTTCAATCCCTGGACTAGGGAAGAACCCCTAGAGAAGGAAATGGCAACCCACTGCAGTATTCTTGCCTGGGAAACCCCATGGACAGAGGAGCCTGGCGGGCTGCAGTCCGTGGGGTCGCAAAGAGTTAGACCCGACTGAGCGTGGGAGCGCTCACACATATTTGAATCAGGTTTTCTTTTTGTGTGCTTTAATTTTTTAAATAATTTTATGCAAGTATAGTTGATTTAGTGTTAATTTCTGCTGCACGGCAAAGTGACTCAGTTATATATATTCTTTTTTGTATTCTTTCCCATAATGGTTTATCACAGGCTATTGAATATAGTTCCCTCTGCTATTTATTAGAACCTTGTTTACCATCCTCTACATACTAGTTTGAACATGCTAATCCCAGGCTCCCAGTCCTCCCCTTCCCCACCCTCAGGTCAGTTTTTGCTTTATTTTAGAATTATTTTCCACAAATCCCTACTGGGTACCAACTCCTGTGCTAGATGCTGCTCATTTTCTCTCTTTATCTTCTATCCAACCTAGATGTCATAGCATTGTTAAGACACTGTTAGTAGTTTCTATTTCTCAGTTGATTTTCCCCTTTATTATTTCTTAGTGAAAACTTCATTTGGTTTCATAGAATGATATACACTCTTGGAAGGAGTCATTGCCCGAAACTCTATTTAGTCTTTAATTCTAAAAGGATGAGTTTTTTTAAAAGTATATTCTGAAATATACTTAAGTGGTTTCTCCTCATGTTCTAAAACCATTCTCTATTGATGAACATCTTGCAGTAAAAGTGGCTGCGTGTGGAGGCTAGCAGTATGATATGATATCAAAGACAGCAGGAGCTCAGCTACCCCAGGGCCTTTGTAGCACATTTTAGCTCAGATTAAAGGAGGAGGAAAGCTGCTTTCCTAAGATGAGGCAGACAGGTTCTTTTCTTTGAGGTGTACCTGGGTCATCTCAGTGGCCTCTGATGTTAAATGGAGTCTTCCTTCCAGTTCAGTTTGAAGGCTCTGAGCGACCTTCTCTCAAGGAGGAGCCACTGAGGCAGCACCACCGACAGAAGAGCTGGACCCAGAAGATCCTGAAGCCAGCCCTGGCTGACCACAGTGAGGGGGAGAGAGTGGACCCAGCCCTGCCGCTGGAGAAGCAGCCGTGAGTCTCCTCCCCAGACACACGTGACGCAGGGCGGCTGAGAGCTTGCTGAGAGCCTTGGTGAGGCACACTAGCTCACTTTAAGTCTTTCTGGTGTTGCCTCGTCTGGGTGGGGCTTACTCGTGAAAACCCATTTTCCAAGCCTTTGTACAGAGGGGAAAATGAGTCCCGAGAACCCGATCTCAAATTCCATTCCCCTGTACAGAGTGAAAACTTTTTAAGTGACTCTAGCCCCGTTAACTCCCTCTGGGGTGACAGATAGGTTTTGTGATCCAGGATTACCCAGATCTCATTTTGTCTATTTTGAATGGGAAGCCGGATCTAGTCCAGGCTGTTGAGCTTTCACCAGAAGTTCATTTCCAAAAGTGCTTTATTTCCATGAGGCCCTGTCTAGGTTGGGATCTTGATGCTCATGGTTTCTCCCCCTGCCCCATTTTTCAGTTGGTATCATGGTGCCATCACCCGTGCTGAGGCAGAGAGTCGACTACAGTCCTGCAAAGAAGCTGGGTACCTGGTTCGAAACAGCGAGTCAGGAACCAGTAGGTACTCCATTGCACTAAAGTGAGTATTAAGCATCCTGGGTTCTCCCTGTCTGGATGAAAGAGTGGGGTGCAGACTTTCCTATCATGGGAAAATGACCAGGCAAAAAAGATACGTTGGGTTGGCCAAAAAGTTCATTTGGGTTTTTCTGTAAGATCTTACACTTTTTGGTCAACCCAATAATTTATATGGTCCACAGGGATACATGTTGACAGAAAATGAGATGTGTTTGCTTGGACAACAGAATATGACATACTTTGTTTAGAATGCAACATTGGGGAAATTCCCTGCCTGTTCAGTGGTTAGGGCTCGGTGCTTTCACTGCCGTGGCCCCAGGTTCAATCCCTGGTCAAGAAACTAAGTTCCTGCAAGCCATGTGGTGCAGCCAAAAAAAAGAAAGAATTCAAAATTGGTGTTAGGTAAATGTCCCAATATCCCTTATGATAAAGAGGGATAAATATCCCCATTTCATTTCATTGCACATTGATTAGTTTCTGCCTTATGTGATCTAAAGTAGGTCCTCAGAGAAAATAATTTCTGATAAAAATAATAATTCCTAACAGGATAGTTCAGTCATTCTTTTACTCTCTAGTGTTTGGGACTTTAAGTAAATCAGAGATTCCTTGCTTGTCAAAATGCCAGCTGCAATTTTGGTACCAGTTTCTTCTGTTGAAGAAGGAAACACTGCCTTGCAATGACTCCCCTGTCCAATTGTACACAGAACATTCATTTTTGCCTGGTAGGCTTATTCCAATAAGCCTGGTGTCATGGAAATTCTCCTTGCTCTGCGAGTTCAGTGGTGCTATATTGGAGGATCATTGTCAAGAGCCCTAACAGCATTTCCTTCCTGAGGAAGCTGAGCCCCTGCAGCTGAAACAATCAGACTGGAGGGGAAAAGAGGTTGGGGGGGGGAGCAACATGGCTCAGAAAATGGGATAGGCTACCAGATACACAATACCAGGAATAGCTTTGCTGTGTTCCTGAAGCGGGTGCTTGTGGATTAGATCTTTGAGCCTTCAGTGCCAGCTGTCATATACAACCAGAAACAGTGTTTCCCGATTGAGGGGTGGGGGTGGAGGTAGAAACAAGTTTTATTATTATTATTCTTAATGTTTCCTTTGGAGAGGAAAGAAAGAGGAAACCTTTCACATGTCTTTTTAGCCTTGACAAAGAGGTGAGTTTAAACCTCACCTTAGTGGTCTCATTCTTGGGCTTAAGCACTAGTTTGGCAATTTGGGGGCAAGGAGGGACTGGGCAGTTTTTTTTTTTTCCTTTTGGTCCAGTGCCTGATGACTTGTGTATGTTAAGGATAAATGACCCAGGGGTGACGCACATTTCGCTGAGGGTCGTGAAGCTTCTGTGTGTTCTGCTAGAGTGCTGAAAGCTCTTCTGTTTGTATATAACAATTCCAGGAGTGCCTGGGAACCGGTTGACCTATGAATCTAGCTGAGATTGTTTTCAGTCGGGAGGGATCCCTCTGCTCACTCATTCATGTCTTCTCCTCAATTTCGGTTTTGTTCCAGGACTAGTCAAGGATGCGTCCACATCATAGTGGCTCAGACCAAGGACAGCAAATACACCCTGGATCAGACGAGTGCCGTCTTTGATAGCATCCCGGAAGTGGTACACTACTACTCCAACGAGAAACTGCCTTTCAAGGGGGCAGAGCACATGACCTTGCTTCACCCTGTGCATAGCAAGCTGCACCAAGGCTCAGCCTCCAGAAGCCCCAGCGGGGCCTCTCACGCCTAGGAGGGCATCAGCGCCCAACCGGACTCCCAGGGGATAAGGCTGGACTGCACCGTGTTTGGGAGGAAGCAGGACTCTTCGTCCTTGACTCTTAGAAGTCAAGAAGTCTTTGGCCTTGAATGCATCCCACGACACTTGGTTACTCACCTGGGCCTTTTCTCCTTGCTAAGCAGGTCTACAGCGAGAAACCATAATTTACCAGTTGCCTCCACTCCCTGGAGTAAGGTTGTCTATTTGGGGCGTGACCCTCAGGAAAGGTAAGTCAGGAGTCCAGAAATACTAAGGTTCTCCAAAAATGCACAAGTTATTCCCTGGAATACCTAATCTCTAAATAAAGCAACAAACTTGGCATTTCTATAAAACAAAAAATGATCAAACAGACCCAAAGATCATGTAATTTAAGACCCCTTCTTGGGGAAAAGCATGAACAGTGGAAAATGAGTAATAGTGGACACTTTGGAAAAAACTACCTTTCTCTCTTGAGGGTCGTAGTTTCAACTCCAGAGTCCATAAAAATTCACAGCTTTAGAGTCTGGTCAAAGGATTATTTTGTCGGCCAGCCTTCTAAGAAAAGTTTGTATTTTCTCAATTTCTGTAGACTTTTTTGGCAAATCAGTTATATAAACATAAATAAGAAGGAAGATGCCCGTGATTTAAGAATCATCAATATAATTAAGCATTGGCAATATTGCCATAATTCTGAATTATAGAATTAAATTGCAGAATAAGATACACAACAAAGATTTCATTTCTGAGTTTTAACAAATCTGAAAATTTACAAAGCCCAACAATGGTTTTCTTATTGAATAATAGAACCTCTGGTCTCCTTTGTTTCATCTTTGTCCATTTTAGTAGTTATTGGAACAAGTCAATTTTTCATTTTTAGCCCTAAAATTAGATGTACTTTGCATTTTAGAGTATATATATATATATATATATATATATATATATATATATAGGGTCCCCTTATACATGTGTATATATATAGGATATGATTGTGGGAACTGGGTCTCTAAAACCTACAGTTTCTCTCATACTGTACAAAGCAAACTGGTTTGCACTATATTAAAATATTTTAAGAGACTGATGTTTTCTCTAACCTCTACTGCTTAAAGATATTAAAATAATATTCATAATATCATTATCTTTATGATTTATTATGAACTTATATCACCAATGTACTTACTGTGAAAAAAAAAAAAAAACTGTGGAAATGGCATACTGTGAGAAGGCTACAGTGAGTGGCTCTGTAATGAAAACTGAGCAGATGCTTCTGTATTCTGGGGTTTGTAATTTGGTTCTTGAAACTGGTCCACATACAAATGTGCTGACTGTCATCATGAAAAGTTAACTTTTGTAACTAATGTTAAATACACAAAAAAAAGTTGATCCAGTTAACTTTTAGGAAAACATATCCTTCTGGTTATTAGTTATCATTTTCCTATTAGGATTTCGAGATTAGTAAATATTCACATCTTTATTCAGTTAAGAATGTACCCAGAATTGTGTAATCTTTGTTTTTAAAAATTTGAAAAGAACTTTTCCTCACTGGATCTCAATGATTTTATTAGTCAAGGATGTTCTGTTTTTTAAGTACTGATAGAATTTTTTTTTAATGTACTGGTGTATGTACTTTAGTACAAGATTTTTTTTTTTTTTTAGCATCCATAATTCCATTCAGCACATATTTATTTTTTTCCATATACAAATAATTCATTCTAGTAAACTTATTTTCAGCTCAACATTCTAGAGATTTAACATTCTCTAGATTTAATCTAGAGATTAAATCTTGTTTTTTACTTATCCTATAAAGGAAGTTCAGCAGTTATCCCAGTTTTAATAAATGCTGAAAACTTTGTAAAATTTTTCTTTGTGCACTAAATGATTTCTGGCCCATACCCAGCAACTGTGATGAATGTAATAATGAAGTAACATTTGAAAGCAGACCTGACACATTATTTATTGAGCTTCTATCATAGGCTCAGTATTGTGCTTTCTTTATACTGTTTTTCTGTGACAGTCATGCTGTTTTCTTTATATAATTAAAAGTAGAGATGTGGCGTTTATATATAGTCCAGTTCCTTCGCAATTGTACAGGAGGTTATAGTAAGAAGAAACAGTAAATTAGTTGGGGGGGGGGGGTTGGAATAAGCTACTATTTTCTTCTGAAGTTGTGACACAAGCTGACCAAAGCCAGGAGTTCCCAGCTGGGTGGTGGCACGCAGTACCAAATGTTCTGAAAACAATTAGGCCCAGCAGGGTGTCCCTAATGCTTCCTTGTTAAGCCTCCGGGGCCAGCTGATCTGAAGCCTTGTGACATGTCTCTGAGCTCTGAATGCTTGTGCTTTTTTGTCACTTTGTCCTGATACAAGTGTTTTCCGGTGGTCTTCATTCTCTTGAGTTCATTATTTTCTGGTTCTTTCCAGAGAGAAGAATGTGTTCTCACAAACTTGTACTCGTTTGCCTTGAATTTTAGCATCCTTGGAGCTTTTTACGACTCCCTTTCCTCTTTATCACACTTTGTTTTTAAAAAAACGCCTTGCTGATGAGTTACAAGATGAGTTTATTTCATTGTCTGTCTCAGGCCTCTAAGGACAGAGAGTGAAGGGACATTTCTATTTACTTTGCTGCCACAGTTTTTTGTTGTTGTTGTTTTTCCCCAACTACTGGAGTTGGTATATTTAAATAAATAGGAATAAAAGAGAAATGTTGATACATGTACCAAAAGGTAAATACGGATATGCCTACTCTGTTCTGGGGATGGAAGTGTCCTTTTTAGTTATCCAAAGTATTTTCTTAAGTATCTATCAAAAGAGCCTTTATTCTTTGCTGCTTAAAGTCTCCCTGTTTGCTGAATAGTTACTGGTTCATTGACCTCTGCCACAGGGTGGGGAGTGTGGACAGATAATTTATAGGGCCAGCCAGATGTTTTTGAGATAGGTGGGAAAATAGTCCATACTTTTTAATTGGGTCATTTTAACTATGTAATTACTCTATTAATGGCCACTGTTAGTAAATCTTAATACTTAATTCAGAAGAACAGCTGAGCATTTGAGACATTCTTCAGTTGCTTTTTAAATGAGTATTTTTTCTAATCTATTAAAATGTCCTTTTTTAGTCAAAGGTTAATGGCTCATTTTTCCTTCAGTCTAGGGGGTATATTTCATTTCCCTTCTCTCCTGATCCTTTTAATACAATATTTAGCAGAATTTATTTGATACCTTTCTCACAGACGGATGTCTTCTATTCATTAGTTGTCTCTTTCTTATTTCCCATAACCAGCACTATCTTGACCTTGTGATCTATGTAGAATCACTCTTCTTTATTGTCTGCTCCAATTTTTGTACCCGGTTAACTTGGAGAAACTTGGCCTGCAGTGAACCTTAATTTTTCCTACCTTAATTTCTGACCCTGTAGGAAGGAAATGATGGTGTGTTACTGCCATCTAATGGAGAGAGGGAAAACTGCAGCGGGGAAACAAAGCGCATTTAGAGCAGGGTTTTCTGAAGGATTTCTGATACGGTCCTTAGCAGGAAAATGATGACACAGCAGTTGCCATCTTGAAATCTGCCCTTTCCACTGGAAAGGTGATTTGCAACCTAATGCAGCCATCGTCAGGAGGCCCAGGATTATGGCTGGATCATGTCGTTTAGAATCTGAATGAATATGCTGGCAAAAGATCATGGAGACAGGCATCTCATTTTTGTCACATTCTTAACCATTCAGTTACTTTTTCTGGGGCCTTAACATTTTAAGCATCAACTAATACATAATGTTAAATTTTGAAAATATTTGAAGATTGTATGTAATACAGGTGCCTATCTATAGTACTTTAGTAATTTATAGTATATCAGAAGGATTTTATTAAAATTTCTGGATGTATGGCAGTATGCCCTCCTGAAGATGGTTTACTCTGAAATGTAACTTTAAATAAACATTATTCCAAGAAAGTCTATGTTTCTCAATCACCTTCACCTTTTTCTCAAGTGCACACAGAACCTTCTCCAGAATAGATCACATCCTGGGCCATAAATCTAGTCTTGGTAAATTCAAAAAGATTGAAATCATTCCAGTCATCTTTTCTGACCACAGTGCAGTAAGATTAGATCTTAATTACAGGAAAAAAATTATTAAAAATTCAAACATATGGAGGCTAAACAACACGCTTCTGAATAACCAACAAATCATAGACGAAATCAAAAAAGAAATAAAAATATGCATAGAAATGAATGAAAATGAAAACACAACAACCCAAAACCTATGGGACACTGTAAAGGCAGTGCTAAGGGGAAGATTCATAGCATTACAGGCCTACCTCAAGAAACAAGAAAAAAGTCAAATAAATAACCTAACTCTACACCTAAAGCAACTAGAGGAGGAAGAAATGAAGAACCCCAGGGTTAGTAGAAGGAAAGAAATCTTAAAAATTAGGGCAGAAATAAATGCAAAAGAAACTAAAGAGATCATAGCAAAAATTAACAAAGCTAAAAGCTGGTTTTTTGAAAAAATAAACAAAATTGACAAACCATTAGCAAGACTCATTAAGAAACAAAGGGAGAAGAACCAAATTAATGAAATTAGAAACGAAAATGGAGAGATCACAACAGACAACACTGAAATACAAAGGATCATAAGAGACTACTACCAGCAGCTCTATGCCAATAAAATGGACAACTTGGAAGAAATGGACAAGTTCTTAGAGAAGTATAACTTTCCAAAACTGAACCAGGAAGAAATAGAAGATCTTAACAAAACCACCACAAGCAAGGAAATCGAAACTGTAATCAGAAATCTTCCAGCAAACAAAAGCCCAGGACCAGATGGCTTCACAGCTGAATTCTACCAAAACTTTAGAGAAGAGCTAACACCTATCTTACTCAAACTCTTCCAGAAAATTGCAGAAGAAGGTAAACTTCCAAACTCATTCTTTGAGGCCACCATCACCCTAATTCCAAAACCAGATAAAGATGCCACAAAAAAAGAAAACTACAGGCCAATATCACTGATGAACATAGATGCAAAAATCCTTAACAAAATTCTAGCAAACAGAATCCAACAACATATTAAAAAAATCATACATCATGACCAAGTGGGCTTTATCCCAGGAATGCAAGGATTCTTTAATATCCGCAAATCAATCAATGTAATACACCACATTAACAAATTGAAAGATAAAAACCATATGATTATCTCAATAGATGCAGAAAAAGCCTTTGACAAAATTCAACATTCATTTATGATTAAAACTCTCCAGAAAGCAGGAATACAAGGAACATACCTCAAAATAATAAAAGCTATATATGACAAACCCACAGCAAGCATCACCCTCAATGGTGAAAAATTGAAAGCATTTCCCCTGAAATCAGGAACAAGACAAGGGTGCCCACTCTCACCACTACTATTCAACATAGTTTTGGAAGTTTTGGCCACAGCAATCAGAGCAGAAAAAGAAAAAGGAATCCAGATAGGAAAAGAAGAAGTGAAACTCTCGCTGTTTGCAGATGACATGATCCTCTACATAGAAAATCCTAAAGACTCTACAAGAAAATTACTAGAGCTAATCAACGAATACAGTAAAGTTGCAGGATATAAAATTAACACACAGAAATCTCTTGCATTCCTATACACTAACAATGAGAAAACAGAAAGAGAAATTAAGGAAACAATACCATTCACCATTGCAACAAAAAGAATAAAATACTTAGGAGTA